TCAGGTTGCTGGAAAGGTTTGTGATACAATCTTTAAAAATTTCCTTCAGATTTGTTTTTATTTCCCCCCCAAAGAGAAAATCTCAGGCTGGTTACCACTGAAGAGATTGGTAGGTCATGAAGTCCAATACCTTTGAATTAGTGTGGATTTCCACATAAGCTGATGAGCTAACTGACAGCACAGTGACAGGTCATTAGTCTTTGTACGGAGAACTTGTCAGCAGAGAAGGAGATGTACTGGGCTACAGAATTTTGTTAGATAATGTGCAGGTTTTCTTGATTTATACTAAGATACTCTGAAATCTTTGTGTTCTTATACACATGTCTGCTTTTACCTCTCTTTCTTAATCTCTTTCTGCTTTTCTTACATCCTTTCCAGGCATTAGTTCCTGCTTCCCTCCCAGCTTTCCCCAGTTCTCTCACAGTGAGCCATTTTTTGCTCTCATGAGCTTTGCTTCCACAGTCGTCTCCAGCATGAGCTGAATCACATTCACTTTAGCCTAGAGCATGTTTAGTCCAGACAGAACATGAGGCTTGTTTATTAATCCCTGTTGAGTGTGTACAAATGCTTTTCAGATACTTGAAACTCAGCTATGTTTATATGGTACCTGGAAATTTGGTAATTTTACAATTATTTATTTTACTGTCATTGTCAGAAGAGTTTCAATTTGTTGAAAATTTCAGTTCTAATGAATTTAAATTATGAAAGATATGCAAGAAACTAGAAACAGAGGTTGGAATGGAATATGGAACATGTTAAGCAGCACTGACTGTAGGCATCTTTTGCCTGCTGTAGCTTTAGCTGAAATGCCTGTAGAGAACAAGGAATGGCAGCAATGCATACTTGCTAATATTTCCATCCCATACAAACCTCTCCACCTAGGAGTGAAAAGCTCCCAATCAGAGAGAAAGTTAATTTTAACTGAAGTGCTTCTATCTCTTCTGCCTCTAGGATATGTGTTCACACCTCTGCAACATGTAAAGCCATCACCTTAAAGATTGTCTAATTTAATATGATTAGGAGTGTGTAATGTAAGAAGATTCATGAAACTGGGTATAGATAACTTGCTCTAGCTATGATACACGCCCTTCTCCCTTCTAAGCTTATTAAAGAGAAAGCTTGAGATCCCCTGGTGAGCTTCTTATCTCCAGTAATTAAGAATATCCTAATGGGCATGGTAAGTGCCTTTCTATGCATGTTGGGATGGACATAAACCATCATGGTCTCTTTCTGCCTCACATGAAGTAGCTCTGTGATTTCAGCCAGAGCTCTCAGACATGTCTTGCACAGGGGAATGGCTCAGTTGTGATTCAGAACAATTTCCTATTAAAATATTTAACAGAGAAGCACTACTGTACTGTGGTCATAGGCAAAATACTAATAACAGTAATCAATACTGACACATTTTACATACAGGAAAAGGAAATGCAGAAGGGAAGAAAATTATATCTGCCATAGGTAGGTAAGTAAATATAAATAGTTTTATTTCATTATCTGACAGTAAAGCTGATTGTGCAGGTGGCCATGCTGAAGAGCACTTTCAGTCTGATCTCAGAAGAGATTTCAGCAGGGAAAGCAAAAAATTGTAAGGTGGCCAGGGACAGAATGTTAGAGACAAATGTAATAATCCACGTGGCTTCAAGAGACACAATATAGACAGCTTCTCAAAAAAATGGCAAGTGCAAGATACCAGCATGAACAGGATTCCCTTTCCAGACTGTCTGCATGCAAACAGGTGTGTGCAAAACCATGATCATGGAATATTTAATGCAAAACTTAGGTGTGTTTAAAAATTTATTCAGGACTTTGGAAGGTTTTTTGAAATTAGGCCTTTTTTGTCCACATGCTCTCTTCTTAAAGATTGATCTACACTTTCAAATCAATGAAGTCCTTTTACTATGAAAGTTTTCAACCAGGAATGTGTAGTTATTCTTTTCCTCATATGAATTGGGGAAAAATGATCAGAAGTAGCTGAAAGCTTCTCAGTACCTTAAGAACACTGTTTTCTGGGAATTATTGGGAAAGCAAAATTTAGTAGTGTGGTAATGACTTCAGGGCAGTTATCTCAGACTCCATCTGTCCTGGGTGACTCAGGGTTTCACTGCTGACCATGTGCTGGCCCTGCCACCTCCCTCCTGATCCTGTTGGGCCTCTGTCATTACCATCTCCCCTGCTCATACTTGTGTAGACTGCCTGCTCTGGGAATAGAGCACCTGGCTGGCAGGGGGAGAAGTGAGAGAGAACTTGATATGATCATGCTGGGCAGTTTAGGGAGGAGGAGCATCCCTCCCTTGCTCATGCTGGGCAGTTTAGGGAGAAGGAGACACCCATCCCTGCATCCCTCCCTTGCTCTGTAAGGACATGGTTGTTGCTGCCTCTGTGACCTGCTGAACATTGTGCCCAAAGCAGACACAGCTCTTGGCTTCTGTAGACTTAGGACCAGGCCTATGTATATGCAGTGCATCTAGCAGCAAGCCTCTGCACCCCTCCACTCCCTGTTATGATCTGAAACTGCTCTTGAAGTGTTTGGAAGAAATTCTCATCCCTCTTCTTTTGCACTTCCTTACGGAAGGAGTAGATGAACTCCCCTTACTAAGGGAAGAGAAAGGAACAGAATACAGGTGAGCCAGCAGGAGATCTCAGGCTTTGTGTGCTGTGATAAGTGGCTGAGGGGGTTATGCACACTACCAAACTCCTTTGTGTTTTGTGCCGATGTTCTTTACTTTCCTCTTAATGTGTGGAACATTTGATTTGGATTTTCATTTGTCAGCAAGGAAATTAGCTTTTTTCTTCTCCATCTTTTCCCAGCATCTTAACCACAGCTTGATGGAGGAACTATCGGCAGAGTGTTTTAAGTTTTCAGCTGGCCAAACCTGAACAGAGTTCTTACCTTAGCAACTCATGTATCCTTTGCAGTCTATTCACGAGGAAAAGAGAGCTGCATCCTTGCGTGTCCATGGGATGAGTTTTCTTTGGAGCTCTAATATATGATTATCTTCACTGCAGACTAGAAACCATTCACTGCATTCTCCGCAGACAGCGATGTTGGGACAAAAGGAAATACAAATGTGCACGTTGCCATGAGATGTTTCAGTTCTGTATCTAGTCACTTCAAATGTTGCTATTTCGACATTAGCAATACATTGTTGTTTGGGTGTGTACATGAAGTGTAGAGTTTCCGTTTGCAACTGACTGGCATGCATCCTGCTCCTTTCTGATTTAAGGTCACTAAATAAGTTACTAGAAAGAGCTATTCATATCTGAGATGAAAAGCAAATAATGCATTTTAAAAAGGAAAATTTAAAAAAAAAGGCAGCTCTACCTCTCTAGTAAGTGTTCTGGAGGGAAGGCTGGTTTTGGGAGGTAATCCTGTGTGTGTAAGACAGCACATAGGATTATTCTGGAGAGAGTCAGATCAGAGTGCCCAGCTCCTATACTCAGAGACTTTATATTACATTTTTCTGAAGGGAATTAGGTATCAATTTAAGAGGATACAAAATCCTATTTGATGTGAAAGTGAAAGTGAGCTGTTTGGCCAGATGTATATATTGCAGGTGGCTGCATTGGCAACCCTGTCACTGATCAGTACTTCAGAACAGGTAACAGCACTGAGCACAGTGCAGGCTAATTATCTAAGTGTTTATCCAGCTTTTTGGAATTCTTCTTCCATTATTAGTTTGCTACTGATGCCTGAGCTTTTACAGCAGTGCTTCCACCAGCAGTGAAGTGCTTATCCTTTTTTATGACCCAGAGTGAAAACTTTCTTGACTTACATACTAGCAACAGCAGCATTTGGGCTCCAGAGCCACATCTGGGGCTGCCATAAAAAGCAAGTCTTCTTGGTCCTGTGCCAGCCCAGGAACAGGTGCTAGAAGGAGCATTTATTTATCTTATTTTTCTGCCATTACCAGCCATTGCAGACTGGAAGTGCTCTCTATGGTCCATCTACTCCCTCCCCAAAATGTGACCCTACAGTCCTCAGCCATCTATTTCTTTCTTCATCAGCAGGAACTGCCTGTGGCCAGGTTCTTTTCCTGGGAGTCAGGAGTATCAGCCAGAGCTGTCTCCCTAAACTCAAAGAGGACAGTTGCCATCTTAAATGAGGGAATGGCTGGGGAACCTATTGCTAGAGTTTCAGCCAGACCTGCAGAAAAACCTTTCCTAAACTTTACTGCTTGTGACCCACCTAGCAGGTGCCTATCTAGTTTTACTAGATAAGGTACTTGAGAATAATAAATGTCAATAATAATTGATGTTTGAACATTACAGCTGAACTGATAACATTATGGTAAAAGCAGCAATATCTGGGATTTGTGAGTTACCAGGGCTTCCCTTCCACAGGGAAAAACTGGCATCACCTGGCAAGCAAGAGATCCCAAACACCCTGCGAGGGGATGTCACCATTGTGCAGCTCGGAGGTCCATGGCTTGGTGGATGTGGGTTTTAGTTGTAAGCTGAAAAAGCAGGTGGAGGGTCTGGCAGTGGAGAAGAGGCTGGGTACAGAAATTGGGACAGCCTTGTGCTTAGAAGCCAGGCCGTTGCCTAGGGTCTGCTTTGGCTGCTTGGCATCGGCAGGGCTCAGGATGGGTGTGCAGGTACCCGGAGGAGCCGGTCCTTGCTGGGTCTGGGCCTCCGTGACAGCGGGGCCAGGGCACTCCCAGGCCCCAGGGCCGAGCGCCTTTGGCCGGGGGAAGCGGGAATCCTGCTGCCAACACCGGCCGGCTTCTCCTCGCCGCCCTGCCTCCATGTCGGGCGCGCATAAAGAACCATGTCATGCTTCAGCGGGGAAGGGAGGGCCGGGCGGGACTGGAGCGCTCTCTGCTCTCCTATTTTCATAGAAACCGATCTGTGTACCTAGAAAATAACAGGAAGGGAAAGCGCGGGGGGAGGCGCGGGCGGGGTGGGGGGGGATAAGAAGATCCTGTTTTCGGTCGCTGCCCGAGGAGTAATTCGTCGGAGACGGCTCCATATTCCCGGGGCCGCGGCGGCTGCGGCGGGGATGGAGCGGGCGGCGCGGGCGGCGTAGCCCAGCGCGCACGGGGGGGCCGCGGGCAGCGCCGCGCCCGCCGCCGCCGCGGGGCGAGGGCTCCCCGGCCGCCCCCGCCCGGCCAGCCCGCTCCCTGGTACCGGGGGCTGCTGGGGTTGTGTCCAAGGCCTCCCCCTCCCCCGCGTACACACTCACACACACAGACACACGCACACACACTCACACTCACACACACACACACACACACACACACACACCCCATCTCCTCCTGCCGCCGCCGCCGCCGCCGGAGAGATCGGGGATCGCCCGCGGCCCGGCCCCGCTCCCGGCTGCGCCCCGTGCCCGGGCGCATCGCACCCCGCGGGGGCTCGCCCGGCTGCCCCCGGGGCGGCGTGCGGGAGGGCGGGGGGACACACGGCGGCTCCCGCGGCGGCTCCCGATGGCTCGTCCGCGGCCCCGAGAATACAAGGCTGGAGACCTGGTGTTCGCCAAAATGAAGGGGTACCCGCACTGGCCGGCCCGGGTGAGTACCGCGGCGGGGGCGCCCGGCCCCGCGCCGCCGCCCCCATCGCCCCGCGGCCGG